AGATCCGATTAGTTGAAATCATGATCTCTCTGAAATTCAAAGAAGACCTACATTAATCCCTCAAAAAGATTAACACGGGTCTATTTTGAAATTCAGAGGAATCACGAGTCAATTTTTTTTAAGAGATTAAATTGGGTCCCATAATTTTTGTTGAGGACCTAAAAGATACTTTATTTTTGTAGTAAGTGCAAGTTTTCTTTTTTTGTTTTTGTTTATATTCTTTTATTTTTTAATACATTTAAAACTTTCTTTAAAAAAAAATTTCGGGAATATTGTCTCTGAACCTCCATCTCTCTAAATAATATTTGTTGGGTCCGCAACTACTCATATGGAAGGGACACAGGTGCATGATGTTAGAAAAAAAAATTATGTGAGCAATATTAATTAATTAGTTTTGTGTTTTAAAATTAATCTGGTTAATGGATATTCCAATTCTAATATTTTGATTAACTCATTGTGATTATGTTGAGTTGAGCTTATGACATCTGTTGGTATTGGGCTTAATTGGGCAGTATTGTAAGTTTTAGTGTGACCCTAGTTTTCGTGATGGATGGACCCAATGGACATAAACTCTTTTATGAGAATCTGGCTAGGTCCCATCTCTAGCCTATTCAGCATAGAGTTGGAGTATGTCTGCCGTCTGCACTCTCATCGCAAAGGCTGCCAAGAACATATGTGATTGAGAGGAAGACCATAACATTAAGTTTCCTTCTTTCCTCTGGTTATGTGATGACATAACAAGGTATGCACATTTACACTTTTGATTCTATTGTTGTTTGGTATTTTATAATCCTATACACGATCCAGAATTATTAGATCTATCATTTGGAGAGACACTACACTAGGACTTTCCAGGAGGGCACCTATCCTAGTACTACTCTTGCCCAAGCACGCTCAACCGCGGATTCTGATGGGATCCAGTGCATTAGTGCTGTTATGATCACATCGACAGCCCAAGATCCAACATAAATCATTGATCCACTAAGATCAAATATTGGCACCATCTGTGGGGAGTGATAAACTTTGATCCTCATCCCAACATGGTCAACACACACAGCGCCTTGCAGAACCAGCAGTTGCAGTAACCATAGCTGCAACGGGGGACGTAGCAACAATGCGTAGACCCATCGATTGGCAACCACCAAGAGAATGAGGTGATCTCTGTTTCTATCCCTTAGACTCTACCAAATCCGCCAGTCGCGAGCCAAAGGGGAGACCCCATGAAGGCCAATGTGGCCAAAATCCTGCAAGGCCTTGACGACATGGAGAGGAGAATAAGGGAACAACAAGGAGAAAATATGCCACCCTCAACCCAGCCAATAACAAGCCAACCGGCAAGCTACCCAACAATAACAGGGAGAGAACCAACCTGCCCCCACACAAGACCGCCCTCTATCCCATCTCTAAGCCGGCAACACCATCCACCACCAACAAAACAACGACCTTGATGAGGAAGGATCTTTCACAAACCGAGTCATGAATGCACTCCTGCCTAACGGCTAGCAGCAATATGTCCTCCCCTAGTACAATGACACTCAAGACTCCTAGGAACATCTAGACATCTTCAAGATGAGCATGTTCCTAGATAGAGCACAAGAACCCTTCATTTCCAAGGTGTTTTACTTCGACTTTTCAAGGGCTGGCCCGATATCGGTTCAACTTCCTCCCACCACGCTCCATCAACTCCTTGAGGGACTTGGCCTAACCGTTCTAGACTGTAACACCTCGTGTATACCTGGTTTGTTAACATGTCATCGTATTAAGCCACGCTTAATTAAAAATGTGGAATAACTTTTTACTTCCAATTATGACGTCATTATCATTAACCAAGTTGATTATTAAATCATATTTCAAAACATTACATGTATGTAATTGCAAATGAACAGCTATCTACACTGAATAACCTCATAATATAAATAGGCGAGTATCTAAGTCACGGAACTACAACATGCAGTCCAGACCATAATCCTGATACATTAATACAACTCGAATCTGAAATAAGACATAGTCAATCAATGTGGCATGTACAACCCCATGCTCACCAAATAAGGCTATATAGCCCATCAGAGTCACAAATCAAACAACATGATAACAGATAAATGACATATCAGCATCCAACACATCATTATAACAACAGATTTCTAACTCAGCTCTGGCCTCCTGCCGCCCGAGGTCTTAACCCCCGAGTTACCTGAACCTGAAATATGTGCGCCAAACGTGGGGTGAGATCTCTAAACAGAAATCTCAGTAAGGAAAGGGGTCCTCAAGGAATTCTCCACCCCAAGCTCACTTACATGTGCAATATAAGTTCAAAAGCAGTAATATAATATAAGTTCCAAGATCAGTGCAATGAAGAATATAATCATGTCATGTGTGTCAACTATTCTGCTGGCCAGAGAAATGCAGGATGTATGTACATCTACAACCCACAATAGTACACGCCCATGCCGTACCTGCCCACAGGATCGCCATCCCGTCTAGGCGAAACACCACATACATATCATAAGGCATTTGCACTTAACAGCTCAAAAGCATTTTAATAAATCAATACATGGAAACACATCATGCATATAAACCATCCCCCTATGCGGTATGGTGGAACCAACAATGGCTAAACCGATGACACGAAAGCTTACCTTGCAAGCTAACTATCCAAGCCAAGCTCACACTAGCTCAATGCCCACAAACAGCACAATCACAATCTGTTTATACAATAATTAATCATCAATAATCATTGTCAAGATTCCATACGTGATTAAGGCTTTCCAACTCATTTTAAGTCATTGCATACAACTTCTGCAGGAGGTATTCGAATACTCCTCGATGAGTATTTGAATACTCCCTGTCTCCTGAAAGTATTCGACTATTTTCACTCAAGTATTCGAATACCACAAGGTATCCGAATACTTTACACCCAGTATCCGAATACCACCAGGTATCCGAATACAAATACCACAGTATTCGAATACTACCCAGTATTCGAATACTTACTCAAAGGTATCCGAATACTTTTCTTCCCAGAAAAGTATCCCAATACTCCTGCAAGGAGTATTCGACTACCAAGGGATAAGTATTTGAATACTACACGAAAAGTATTCGAATACTTATCTGACAGAATGTAGAAACTCGAGCATTCTTCTGCATAAGTCCATATTTAAGGGTCCATACTCGATTTGGAGTCCAATGACTCCTTAAACAGATGTTCCTTAACATGTTTAAGACTCAGAAACACAGTCCTTAACTCAAATGATCCAAGATTCACTTTTTAAAAGGATTAAACAAGCTTCAATCAAGAAAATGACAAAGAGGTGATCATGGTATACCTCAAGTGCTCAAAACTCTGAAAATGAGACACACAAGGGGTCCTCTACACAGCACCACAACACTGACTTAGAAAATACACAAATTTGACCACCAAGCTTGGCCCTTTAAGCCAAAAGATCACTTCTTGGCACCACAAAAGACATGAGCCTGGCCTCCACATGGTAGCTCATGAACTCAGCCCCCAAACAACATAACTCAGAAGCTAGAACTCGCAATGAATCAACACACTCCTTCACAACACTAACTACCAAGGGTTCACAAGGTTAGAGGTGAATAATCTCTCATAAAAGTGGTATCTTGAGGGATTTTGTGAAGAAATGGCAATGAAACAGTGAAGGAGAAGGGAGACACCAGCTGCTGACGAGCCACTCACGTAGAAGACATAAGGAATCAACCTATGTCTTTATGCCACTTTCTATTTATAGTTACATTAAGCTTAGCCACATTGTATTAGCACTAATAGCTACGCTTAACATTTTAATCCCAAACTTGAGATTCTGAATCTACTCATTTTTCTAAGATTTTTCATATTTTTATTTTATTTTTTGCAGCACATTTCCCGTATGCGCTTTTACATAGCCAGTATAAGTTCTGGCACCAGTTCTTATTATTTTGACTTGAAACTTGTTTTACTAGTCCTAGATATTATTCTAGGAATATTCCCACACTTATTATAATTTTCTGGGATACTTCATCAGTACGCATTTATACCGAGGAGCAGAACCGGTAACTGCACTTTTCGTCAGAAAAATGACTTTCAGCATTATTAATTACTTTCTATAATTATTCAAGCTTTCTCATAATTATTAAGGTCAATTATGGAATTATTTCCTAATTTCACATAATTAATTAATTAATTTCCTTAATTAACGGTGCGGGTTCTTACATAGACGAAATTCGCCATTAGTCATGTATTGTCAAAGTCATCCTACACCCTCTCTTATGTCAGACAACATGAGGATGAGCTATAGCAAGAGTACCTAGACCTGTTCAATGTGGAAGCAAATAAAGTCCACAACCTAGACCAAATGATACACCTTCACCTAGTCATCGCTAGACTTTGCAAAAGACCCTTCTGCAGATCGCTCTATAAGTCCCCGATGGCTGACCTGAGGGAATTCAAGGATAGGGCCTCCAAGTAAGTCAACATAGAAGATATCAAGTGAGCTCGCGATGAGATCGACTACAACCCAGCCCCACCCCCTAGAGACACGGACCACATCATGGATGTAGAGTGCTAGAAGTCAGGCCTAAAGACGTGGTTATCAAGCCCGCAAAGGGGAAGTACGACAATTACACTCCCCTCAACGTGCTGAGAAAATAAATTTGGAGAGATGTTGCCCAAACTGAACTCCACTGCGTCAAGCGACCACGACCTTTCTACAGTCGAGGTAAATGTTGTGCTTTTCACGATGATTTCAGTTACACTACAGATGAATGTTGCAAGTTGTGTGATACCATAAAGAAGTACAATACACTACCTTCTTGTCCAATTCATTTTAGTAAAAAAAAATTCCAATGGGACGTTGCGCATGTTCTTCAACTACATCGACCCCAACAAGGCCTGCCCAAAAAATTCATATCCACTGCTAAACATGGATCAACTTATAGATAACTCCTTAGGATTTTGCCTCTTATCCTTCACCAATGCCTACTTAGGATACAACTATATCGCCATGCACCCAAACGACGAAGAGAAAATCGCCTTCATCACTGAGAAGGCCAACTATTGCTACACAGAGATACCCTTTGGCCACAAGAAAGCTAGAGCCACCTACCAGTGCATGATGAGCAGCGTGTTTGGAGATCATATTATCAAATTCATTGAAGTATATATTAACTACATGATAGTTAAAATAAAGGAACCTAGAGACTTGAACTTCGATTTCAACTAAGTCTTCTCAGTGTTTATGCTCACAACATATGCCTGAATCCCTATAAGTGCACCTTTTGCGTCTCAGCTAGAAAGTTTCTGGGATTCATGCTCACACATAGAAGAATCAAGGTCAATAGAAAAGTGCAAGGCAATCTTAGACATGCCCAGCCCCATAAACAAAAAGAAGATCCAATATCTAATAGGTCAACTAGCTGCCCTGACCAGAGTCCTCCCTAAGTCGACCGAGAAATGTTTTTTCTTCTTCCGAATATTCAAGAAAGAGTAAGAATATGAGTGGACCTCAGAGTGCGAGGCTACTTTCACAAATATCAAAACTTGTCTTGCCACACTATCCGTCTTGTCGAAGCCTAGCCTGGGGGAACAACTGGTCTTATACCTAGCAGTGGCAGAAGAGGTCGTCAGTGCAGCTAGGGGTGGCAAAAATGAGCCAGCCCGTCGGGGTGGCTCGTAACCCGCACAAAACGAGCCGGGTTGGGTTAGCAAAAATGAGCTGTCAGCTCGATTTAGCTCGACCCGAGCCAACCCGAGCTCAAACGAGCCAGCTCGCGGGTTGAACGAGCCAGCTCGCGGGTTACTATTTTTTTTTTAATAAAATACAATAAAAAACAGTCACACGCATGAGTCACACGCACGAGTCACACTCATCATCAGACACTCTCACTCTCACTCACCGCTCCCTAGTCACTACCAGCAGCAGTCACCCCACCCCACCCAGGTCCCCCACCCCACCCCACCCACACCGACGGCGGGCGACGACATCCTCTCTTCCGCAACTTGAAGGTTTTTTTTCCCCCTTTCTTCTTGTTTCACTGATCTTGCATTTTATTAATTTTTTTTTCCATTTTTATTCCAGATCTTGGCAGCCAGTCAGCCACCGTGCTCTTCCTCTCCACCGACAGCCACCTCTGTGTTTTCACTCAGGTATTCTCTTTTTTCTTCTTAGTCTTAACCTTCAAATCTTCCTTTTTTTTTTCTTTTGGGGGTGATAAAATCAGAGATCTCAGATCAAGATGTATGCTTTTCTGTATTTTAGGGTCTTTTGTTGAATGTTTTACGATTTTGATGATATTCTAATTCCTTTACGTGGAAGAAAGGGAGGGGCCGAGGGGGATGGATTATGCAATCAGTAAGATGTTGTTTTGATTTTTTATTTTTTTAACTTAATAATTAATTTTTTTTACGATTCTGAAGCCTTCTCTTTTGAAAATATAATAAATCTGCTCTCACCAGTAGGCAGTAACCAAGTTTCTTCCCAAACATATTCAGGCTTAGCTATGCTCTAACAGAATAATAAAGAAGATAAAGAAAAAGAAAGCCTTCTAATGGCAATTTCTATAATCCCATTGACTTGTCTTTGTCTCAACCTATGGTTAAATAGAATATTGATTGCATATTGATTGCATAATAAAGCCTGTGATTGCATAATAAAGCCTTATTTTTTGTCATTATCTAGCATATTGATTGCATAGCATACTTGCTTTGGCGTACCTTCCAAATGTCATCAAAAGAAATATAACCCTTAGCAATGTTAAATAGAATCCTGTAGTAATACTGCAATTAATGAAGTTTTATTGTGTTAGATGTTTTCTTTGATTTTTATGATTGACTGGTCATGTTTATATTTTAAGGAAAATATTTTCTACTTGTCTGAAAAAGCTATAATAACTACAAAGAGATTCTGAGAGCTTTGATTTATAAATTTTGGTGTCAAATCAAGAGCTATCAAGTTTGGTTTTATGGCTATCCTTTTTGCCCAAATCCTTACTGTTTTAATTATGGAATAAACCTATCAGTGCTCTAATTTATATGGTGTTGCAACTGTCCTAGTAATTCATTTTCTGTTTTAAGACATGTCATTCCATTTCTCCATTGTGTATGTTGTAGCTACTGTCCTAGAAATTAATTTTGTGCATAAGAAAGGCTAAATTGATCGTGTACTAGTGATCTGTGATGCATTATGCTCTGCAGTCTGCATAACCCGTTTTGTTGGTTCATAAATAAATGCTTAGACTACTAAATATATTTTGAATTGCCGACCAATTATACACCAACCCTGCATACCATTAAGTGCTCAAACCTGATGCTTTAAAAGTCTATATGGAAGAACTTTAATTCAGACAAGATTTTAGATATTATAGTTGTGACTTTGTCACTTGATACTTATGGTTGTCATATGGTTGTTAGCTATAATCTAACTGTTGTATGATCTGTAATTAGGTATTGTTGTGACCGAAATCCCTCTCTACTACTTGGATTGTATCAATGCTGATGAGTTGTTTATATGGTCAGGAACCAAAGAGGAAGACAGATCATTATTGATCCTTCCCTTTACTTATCTTCGACTTCAAGTCTCTGAAATGGCTGATTCAAATAGGTTAATATTCTTCAATTTTTTTAAAATCTGTTTTAGTTTAAATTATCTTTTCCACGCTATAGTAATTTTATATTTAACTTTGATGTAGGGAAAGCTTGGCGATGCTTGAAGAAGGCAATGATGTTGATGCAGAAAGTGATGAATTGGAAGAAGTTGAAGAAGGACCTGCTTTTAAAAAGGCTAGGAAAAGGCAAGCTCGTTGCTGGAAACATTTCACAATAATAGGAGAAAAAAGGAATGAAAAGGCAAGATGCAATGGTTGCAAGACAGAGTACAAGATTGACAGTAAGACTTGTGGTACGTCTACTTTAAACCGTCACATTGATAAATGCACACAAATTAAACATGAAGATATTGGTCAAGTCATATTGGACATGCAAGGTAAAATGAAGGCTATAAAAATAGATATGAAGGTAGCACGTGAGATGTATGCTGAAGCTGTTATTGAACATGACCAACCTTTTAACTTTGCTGAGTATAGAAAGTTCAGGCGTTTCCATAATTACTTGAATCCAGATTGGACTGGCATTTCTAGATATACTCTTAAACAAGATGTTTTAAATTTGCACATGAGAGACAAGCTGAAGCTGAAAAAGATGTTTGGTAGCATTCAAAGTAGGATATGCTTAACTTCAGATTTGTGGACATCTTGTAATACTGAGGGTTATGTTTGCTTAACTGCCCATTTCATTGATGTCAATTGGAAGCTGAATAGTAAAATTATTGCCTTCCGTCATATGCCTCCTCCTCATACTGGATTTGAATTGACTCATAAAATACTTGGTTTGTTGAAGGAATGGGGCATAGAGAAGAAGATTTTTACCATTACTTTGGACAATGCATCTGCAAATGATTCTATGGTTGGTGGTTTGAGAAGCCAATTGAATATGCAAAAATTGTTGTTATGTGATGGGAAATTTTTTCATGTGCGTTGTTCTGCACACATATTGAATTTGATTGTTCAAGATGGAGTAAAAGTTGCAAATGATGCCTTGACTCGGATTAGAGAGAGTGTTAAATATATAAAAGGCACAGAATCAAGAATGATCAAATTTAAGGAGTGCATTGAACAAGTTGGTGGTGAGAAAACTGTAACTGCATTGATAGCAGATGTACCCACTAGATGGAATTCCACTTATGAAATGCTTAATCGTGCTCTCAAATTCAGGCGTGAGTTAGCAATTCTCCAATTGAGTGATAGAAATTACAAGTATTATCCTTCAGAAGAAGAGTGGAATAGGTTGGAAATTCTTTGTCGGTTCTTGCATCCATTTTGTGAGATCACTAATTTGATGTCTGGCATTTCTTATCCTACTTCTAACTTGTATTTTCTACAAGTTTGGAAAATTCAGCGGGTTCTCATTCGTATGAGTAATGATGAAGATGTGGTTGTAAGTAGCATGGCTAATAAGATGATGGATAAGTTTCAAAAATATTGGGAAGATTATAGTGATGTGCTTTCACTAGGAGCTGTTCTTGATCCTCGCATTAAGTTTACTATATTATCTTTTTGTCATAGAAAGATTGATGCTTACACACATGATGACAAGATGGAAAATATAAAGGCAAACGTGTATAAGCTCTTTGAGAATTATGTAAAAATTAATTCATCAACTACCATTGATCAAAGTCAAGATAACACCCACTCTTCAAGTCAAGGGTCAATGGAATCGAGAGGATGGGATGATGAGATATTGGATGTAAGTTCATGTTTAGCAAAAAGCTTTAATTATGTTATATCATATTCATTTTCACGCCTTTATTTATGCATGTACTTACTTACTTAAATTATTATGTTTTTGCACTTCTCAAATATGATAGGAATTGACCTTGCACACTCAACACCAAGCAATAAATGCTGGAAAATCTGAACTTGATGTTTATTTAGAGGAGCCGCCTGTAATGGTTATTCACAGCTGGAATAGTTTAGATGCATTGCAATGGTGGAAAGATAATAGTTGTCGTTTTCCGAGTCTATCATTAATGGCTCGTGACTTGTTAAGCATTCCTATTACCACTGTGGCATCTGAATCTGCTTTTAGCATTGGATCACGTGTGCTTAACAAATATAGAAATAAGTTGTTGTCAAAGAATGTTGAAGCTTTGATATGTACCCGCAATTGGTTGGCTGGTTTTGTTGCCAATGGTAATTTATTTATTCTCTCTGCAATTAAAATTTCATTTTTCATTTGTCATTGTAACCTTAATTGATTATTTACATTTTATGGTTTGTGTTTTGTAGATGATGATGATGATGAGGATGGTATTTCCCATATATTAGCTTCTTCGCGGGGATCTAATGGTCATGAAACTTTTTAGATGATCTAATGATGATGGTGTACTTTTGGATGTTTATATTTTGTTATTGTACTGTATTGGTCATGGGAACTCATAGGACAATTTTTATTTTGTAATGTGTTTGTCTACTGCTATGTTGGGATTTCTTAATTTATTGGTTATGTTTTATTAGTTACTGTATTTACACCATTATCCATTAGGCAATCAATAGTTTTGGCAGTGTTGATAATTTGATAATTATATACAGGAGAACAAACCACAAAAATTAAAATTTTTGAGCCAACTCGCGAGTCAACCCGCGAGCCAACCCGCGAGCCAATATTTCGAGCTAACCAACCCGCGAGCCAACTCACTGGCACCATTTCGAGCTAACTCGTGAGCTTTTTTTGAGCCAACCCGTGAGCTTTTTTCCGAGCCAACCCGCGAGCTGATTATCGAGCCAACCCGCGAGCCACCCTAACCCGGCTCGGGTCGAGCCGGGTTGGGTTTTCTGGCTCGTTTTTTTTTTCGAGCCAACCCGACTCGACCCATTTTTTTAGGGTTGAATGCGGGTTGGGCCGGGTCGAGCCGGGTTGGCCCGTTTTGCCAACCCTAAGTGCAGCACTGGTAAGGGAGGGTATAAGTAAACATCAATTAGTGTACTTCGTCAGTCGCTCACTCTAGCTCCTTGAGTTAAGGTACCAGAAGCTTGAAAAGGTAGCCTTCGTCCTACTCGTCATATCACGGCGCTTGCGCCCCTACTTCCAATGTAATTCCATACTAGTAAGGACAAATATACCATAAAGGCATATCCTTCACAAGCCCGACTTGGTAGGTGAAATGATCATGTGGGCAGTCAAACTATTTGAATATGACATCTCCTACGAAGCACTACACACCATTAACTCCCAGGAACTAGCTGATTTCCTAGCAGAAATGACGCCCAACTCGAGCATCCAACTGGTTGAGAAAATCCTGTCATGGACCATATACATCAATGGATTCTCAAAAAGTAAGTTAGTAGTGTAGGAATTATAATCGAGACCCCAGAGGGGTTCAGTATCGAGCACTCCTTCAATCTCAGGTTCCTGACCTTAAACAACCAGACAAAGTATGAGGCTGTCATCACAAGACTTTGCCATGCCAAAGAGAACGGGCAACCTGAGTCAAGGTATGAAGCGACTCTCAGCTTGTTACCTCATAGGTAGAAGGAAAATATCAAGCCTCATGGCGAAGTATCTAGCCTTGGTCAAGGAGCTCCTCGCAGAAATTGATGAGGCTAGCATCTGGTATATCTCATGAACGAGAATTCCAAGGTAGACATACTATTAAAATTGGCAAACATTAAGATCCTAAGCAACCATAGGACAATGGTGCAATAAAACATCCCTGAGTTGAGTTGCATCCTAGCCATCACCACGACATAAAACTAGAGGAAATCCATAATGACCTAACTAGAGAAAGGGAAATTAATAGGAAAACCCATGGATGCTAAGAAGCTAGTGAGAAACTCCCCATGATACTCACCGATGCTGAAGTGTCTATATTCGGAGGAGGCCGAATATGTCCTAGCTGAGATCCATGAGGGGATCAATGGACACCACATGGGTGGCAAGTCGCTAGCCAGGAAAGTACTCTGGACTAAATACTACTGGCCAACCAGAAAAGCAAACACCAAGGCTCATGTCTAGAGGTTCCAAAAGTGCCATGACCCCACACAAATCCAAGAATGAAGGCATTGCTATCCCCATCATACTCCACTGTAAGATGACCAATTGACCATCAAAGTTATACCCTAATAACTCCATCCATATCGGAGCCGTCATGACTATGTCCACACCGCAAACAAGGGACCTCAGCTCACCCTGTGTATAGTTGAGGTTATGGTAGAAGGCCCTCACCATAACCTCTGAATATGGGCACAACATCTCAGTCAGCATTCTCAGATGTGACCCCTCCAACAATGCCACTATGTCAAATCCCTTCAACGTAAAGAATATCGCATCCAATGACTTCGGCTGACAAATGGGTCTGCTAACAAGATCACGCATAAATCTAGCATGCTACGAGGGGTCATCATCAAGCAAATAGCCAAATGTGGCCTCAAAGAAGAAGGACAATCCTAGAGTTGCTTGGTCCATCTTTCGCCATCGGTGTTCCTTGAAGATCGTCCGTGGGAAGCCATAATAACAAAGGAAACCCACAATAACACATGATAATTTATCAACAAACATAATAAAAAATAATAATACAAAAATCAAAACCGAAAAATTCGACAAAAAAAATTATCTATAAAACCTAAACCCTAAACTACATACATAACCCTAAATCTAAACTAAAGAGCCATCAAACCGAAGATTCAAAGAATGGGAGTGAGCCAATCGAACCAAACTAGGGTTCATAAATCAGGAAAAAAAACAAAGAAAATTTAAAAAAAAAAATGAAGAATACATACCAATAAGTGAGAGGAATGAGCGATTGATGTTGTTTAGTGAACCCTCCATATGTAACCAATATAAAAATTATAAATTAAAAGATAAAAAATTAATTTTTCAAAAAATACGTATAATTAATACAAAAGAATTATGTATAAAAAAATACAAAAAAATTAATTCAAATAAAAAAAATGATATGACACCCCATATAATTAAAAATTTCATTATTATGATTGAATTATGGATTAGAGGGCTTAATTAGTGAAAATCCTGAATTACAGGTAAATATACGCTTGAAGGGCAAAATGGTAATTTGACAATTTCTGAACCCTAAAATTATGAAATGATATAATTAGACATTATTTGGAGAAAATAATGTTGGTTTTGGATTTAGAATGAAATTTGGAAGTGGGCAAACACTTTTCTGGATAATTGATAAATAGTGATTTTTAAGGGATGAAATACTGCAGTATAATTTTAGAGAGGGACTCAAAAATTGTAAAAATATTCTGGGAATGGATATATGTTGAAAGAAGTGTTTAGAACCAAGAGAAATTATTATTTGAATTATTTGGTGAATTTTGATATTTTTGAAAAATACAGTGAGTTTGTGAATAGAGGTAAAAATGGAATTATTCAAAAATTGCCCTGATCTTTTTAACACTGTATTGTGACATTATTAAAATATAATTGTGCATCTTGAATTTATGAAAATACCTTAGTCTTGAAATTAATTAAGATTTCAAGAAGATTAATTAAGTAATTGAATTTAGATATTTTTATAACTTTTTGTAAAGTGTCAAATAAAGTGGCTAAGCTTTGAATACCCTTGTAATTAGTCATTTTGGCTCATCTTCTTCCTCCTTTAGCATGCATGACCGAAACCTCCATGGTTGGTGAGCTTAGGTTTTTATTTTGACACCGAAATAAGAAAGTTACAACATGAAAAATACACGGAATCTCTTGGTGATCAAAAATCCTAAAAGAATTTCTTGAAAAAGTGAGTGTGTGAGGAGATCCAAGATCTTGAAGGTGGAGATTTCTTGGTGTTAGTGTAGCCATTGTTGGCGGTTTTTGTTGCTTGGAAGCTTGTATATTGATCTCTTGAAGCCTAGGAACCTATTGGTGGGAAGATTTCTCAATTTCACTGAGTATTTTGTATGGATCGAAATTTTGGTTATAATATGATGTGTATGTTGGTGACCATGGTTAGAGAGGTTTTATGGGCATGTTCCTTTGGAATTTATTGTTCGTATGGATAAATAATCGGTAGAAATGCAATAAAAATTTAAGTGATTTTGGTTTCAACACTTAGACAAATTTTCAAGGAAGAAAGAATGATGATTTGTGAAGGAAGTCTTTGATGGATGATGTAATTGATTGGTGGTGGTTTGGATCATAAATTATGGAGTTTTGTAAGAGTTTTAAGCTTGCGAATTGTTGAAAATTACCTTGACTCCATTGATCTACAATTCGGCCATGTTGAGAAAATTAAGGAAAAATGATGTAAATTGTGTTATGGCTTGATGGAAGATGTGTAAATGTATTAGTGATTTGGTTGATAAGGTTATTCAAGTGATGTAATTGGTTTGTTGAAATTAAAGCACAATTGGTAATACTTTGGGATTTAATAGCCGTGAGCTAGGGTTTTTCTGAGAGTTGTTGTTTATGTTTGCTTGTGTATTCTTAAGCATGTGATTGATCATATTGTGGTATGATCATTGTAGGTTGACTCTCTTTGATCCAATCTTGGAGGATTAAGCTTTGGAAGCTTCTCTCTGTTGGTTGTGAACTTGGTTGTGGAACTTTTTACAGGTAAATTTCGGTGTGTTCTGGGGTTTTTCCCTTTGTGTACTCTGCTATGTCTTTTGGGAATGGTTGAATTTGTGATCTTTGATAATGTGTGATAGAGTATGATCATGCATTTTTACCTGTATTCTTGTCTGGTATATGTTTTTATATACTAGTATCTCTGGCCAGTAGATAAATTTATATGGACTTCCACCGGATAGGACTCTAGTTAGGGAGTTTCGGTTGGCGCGGTGCCTTAAAGTTGCTCTAGGAATGTATCAAAAGTTATATGATGGGATCCTTACATAATATCCTTGTTGGGATATTCTTGGATGTTTTCCCAGTGCCGGGATCCTTGAACAATAGCTCTTGGATGTTTTCCCAATGGTAATCGTAATTGGGATCCTTGAGTAGTAGTCCTTGGATGTTTGCCCAGTTATTGTTGGAATTGTGTATGTTATACTATTCATATGTTTATCATTTCATGCACATTGAGTGAGCCATTGGATGGAGTGACCCTCCAGGACCCGTGTTTTACTGAGATTGTCAAATCTCACCCCTCGTTATGGGGCATTATTTCAAATACCACTAGTGCTGCTGGAGAGGCTTTGGGCAAGAAGCCCACTTAGTGTGGATACGATCATATGGAGTAGCTTGACATGTACAAAGGAGTGCATGAGATTTACTTGGCATTTTAAGATATCATTTTGATGCACTTGGTAGTTGTTCATTTTGTATCATTGACTTAGTACATGGACATTCGTCTTGTATGAGATGTTGTGGACATGTTAAAATTGTTCATGCTTTTGTGTCTAA